GCTCTTACTAATTATCTTATATTGCATCTATTTTCACCCTCAGCTTGCTAAACACTTTAGCAGAGGCTGTTCGTTTTGTATAGATATTTTGACTGTCTCTCTGGCAGATGCCTCCAAATTAATACAGCTCGTGAATTGCAAATTAATGGCTGCAATACATGAAGTGCTCTGTGTCGTCAGCCCATTAATATGATATCAGGAGGTAATGTCAAAAAATGATTATAATTAAGGGCCTTGGTGTAGAAATCTTGAAGGACGGTGGTGCTTGCCATTCCTTTGGATTCAGCAGCACTACTTGAGTGATGAAGTACTCCTCAAGCTAAGTGGGGTTTTCTGTGTCAACCCTTCATTAATTAAATATCAATTTCATAGATTTTGTTAAATAACATATTAGTAATCAGGCTAAATTGATATTTATCACCACTACAACATAGCTTCCATCGCAGAGTAATTAAATCTGATGACCAGTATCAGATGTGTACCCCCCCTTCCTTTTAACTTTTGTGTGTGCTAAAAAAAAGAGGTGAAATACTTAAAAATGTCAGTCATAAACAAACACAAACCTGTTGGTTTCAAGGTGCAAAATTGAGGTCCTCTTCATTTCAAGTCCACCACTACCACCACCTTCTGGAGTCCATTCCACAGTCAAACAGCTCTTGCTATCAGAAACATTCTTCCTAACGTTCAGTCAGAATCTTCCGTCTTGTGATTTGAATCCATTAGTTCTAGTCCTACCCTCCAGAGTAGCAGAAAACAAGCTTGTGCTCCATCTTCCCTTCAGATATTTGAAAACAGCTATCATATCACCTCTCAGTCTTCTCTTCCCCAGGTTAAACACACACGGCTCCCTCAACCACTCCTCATAAGGCTTGTTTTACCAAACCCTGTTGTTTTCAAAACACAGTGTTGAAACCCAAATACAGCCCCATTGGTGTATGAGGTTGGCTTGCGTATAACCTATGGTGTCTTGTGTTAGGATCGCACAAAGGTGGAAAGCATTGGGAAATTTCACATGGATAGACAGTATTGTTCTATGTGGTATAAATGTGGGTTTATGTAAGAAAGAAATGTTACAAGTTGGAGTGCTCTTCATCAAGATGTCCTGCTCCATCATTCTCCCTCCTGGCTGCAGTAGAGGCGGCATGGGGGTGGGGGTGCCAAGGAAGGTGGCAGATCCAGAAGTTATTAAAGTTACTGAATCTCTGGTGCCTAGCATTAACCCATTGTACCTGCAAACTGATCCCACCCTGAACTAAAAATTGAATAACAATTTGAACGAGTGTATGTTGCCTCAGAATAAGACAAGCTTCTTGCCCAGAGCTGTTGTGCTACCAAAAAGAAAGAAAGACTTTGGTTAACCCCTATGATACAAGCTATTTTTAAGAAGAGCTTGTTTGAGCAGGGCAGACATTTGTGGTGCAATCATCTTTTATCTCTTTAGTTTCACTTATTGGAGTGTCCCAGAGAGGAGTCTCTGCAGACTCTTTTGTTCAGCAGCAGGAATCATTTCTAGTTTTCAAAAAGAAAAAAGGTAGTGGAATTGAAATTGTGGTCTTCACAACCCATGATATCCAGTGGGTCACCACCCAACCTGTTGTGAAATGGGGGCTTGGTACTTCCACATGATCAAGCCTAAGAGTTGGTGATTGTGTAGAAGAGCGAGGAAGAATAGGGAAATGGGAAGAAATACAATTAATGAAATGTTTAAAACAAGGTTAAATTTGGCCTTTAAAAAAATTGTGTGTGTGTGTGTGTGTGTGTGTGTGTGTATACACACTAAATATTCTCAATCCCCAAAGGATTCAGATCCCAGTTTTGTATTTATTGACTGTAGCTGTGATACCCTTTTTTATACATTCATAAATCTTTGGATAAACCTAATAAATAAGGAAAACTGGGGAACATTTGTGGCAAGTCCAGTGGCATATTCTATTTCTAGCATGGCTGTGAGTAATGGCTATGTAAATGTTTCGTGAATGGTGCTATTGAAATGGCGAATGGAGCAACTGATGTGTGGTTGAATTGTGAGTTAAGTAAACTTTTAAAATAATAATTTTCTTTAAATATAAAAGCATTCCTGAATGTTAATATTTGGAGAGTTTTAATTCATTGCAGTTTATTTATGCTTTTGTATGTCATTGTATCTGGAGAGGGGGGTGTGTGCCTGTGTGTTTGTGTGCACCTACTGAGAAGATCCATTAAAAAGCAACTGTACCAAAAAGAATTACCATGAAAATGAGAAATATTTAGAAAGGGGGCCAAATTTTGTCCTCGCTCAGGGTGCCATATTACCAAAGTCTGCCCCTGACTTTCTGCATTCTGAGCATGTGCTCTGTTGCTGACTGCCGAGCGGCATGAAATAAAAAAGGGAATGTGATGTTGATGTTTACACGATTTTACATTCAGGCAATAAACATATCTAATATACTTTGTGGCGGGGGGGGGGAAGCTTGCTTACAATCTGTTTTGCTTCCCGCTCTTAAACGGAACCCACATGAATATTTGAAACCCTGCCTTTCCTCAGTAAGCTCAAAGTGGTTAGCCATTTGTCTCATGCTACAGGGGCACTAATCTTCTACTTGCTAGTGGTGTAGTAGCACATTTTGAGGGCCAGGGGCCTTGGCAGTCCTGCAGCAAAGGAGAGTCCAAAAAACAGAGACACCTGTACTGATCCATTATTACCATATTTTTTGTTCTATAAGACTCACTTTTTCCCTCCTAAAAAGTAAGGGGGAAAGTGTGTGCGTCTTATGGAGCGAATGCAGGCTGCGCAGCTATCCCAGAAGCCAGAACAGCAAGAGGGATTGCTGCTTTCACTGCACAGCGATCCCTCTTGCTGTTCTGGCTTCTGAGATTCAGAATATATTTTTTCTTGTTTTCCTTCTCCAAAAACTAGGTGCGTCTTGTGGTCTGCTGCGTCTTATAGAGCGAAAAATACGGTATTTTATACACACACACGTGTACACATCAAAGAGCAGTGGTGCACAGAACAATACTCAAGTTTCTTAGAATCTGCATAACTTCAATTCTATGCATCATTTGCTGGTTCCAGAGGTTCGACTTGTAAAACACAGTGAGCTTTTAACAAAAGATACTCAGCCAGCAGAAATGCAGCTTTTAGCTGGGAATGCCAGCAATCTTGTGAAAAAGTCACTATTTAAACTGCGAGTATGAAGGAGGAACTCCATGGAGTAGGGGGAGGAAAGATGTATTGACCCTCTGCTTGATTATTTCCCTTCTTCTCTGCCTTACTGTGCACTGGTTTTTCTCATTGCAAAATTGAAAGCCTCAATTAGCACTTCGTTCACTTGCCAGAGCAAGGAGGGTCCATAAGCTATCTGGTGCTCCAGCAGATGGCAACCCAGAGCTGAGCTCCCCCTCCACTGTATTATTGCAGGGAAGACATCAGAAGTTCCCTTGCATAATTCCAGAAATATTTCTAGGATTGTGCACAATGCTTCTCAGCCATATGCCCCACTCAACATTAACTAACTGCAACAGCTATTACACACGAGAATCTTATGATATTGAAAACACATCTTGGGGCGGGGGAACAAAGCGCCTTACCATTCACTGTTGTGACTGCTAACAGCTGACTTGCAAAAGTCCCAGGGTGCAGTTTTAAAATGGTTCACACATTTCCCCAGTGTTTGCAAATAGACAAATGGTATGACAATTTTTAGAGCATGTCTGCCTGGGCTTTCAAGCTGTTTGACTGGCTTCAAAATCTATATCGTTTTCCTGCATGCTTAACTTTGAAAGGGGCAGGGGGAAACATTTTCCTAATTTGAAAAAACAAACGAACACCCCACACTTTTTACATTGTCTGTGGACACCTAAAATGTTTTACAAATTGTTTTCCTCCCAGAAGACTCTCCCTGACACAGTTTCCTCTGCTTACCTGTTCTAAAGTTGGCTACTCTAACTAAATTCCTCTAGCAAGGGAGACTGGTGCATGGAAGCAATCACATATGGCCGATACAGATGCAAACTTGCACCTGAGTATACATACACATTCACAATGCATTGTTCATAGAGGCCACATGGTTGGGTGAATTCCTTGAGTTGATGGGGACACACATCCACATCTAGGGTTCTTTGAATGTTCACTACTCAGTTTTTTAGCCTTCTCCTAATTTCGGTAGTCCCTTCCCTATAGCAATGAGAATGATCCTGAGCATCCCGTGACGCCAAAAGCATCTCAGGTAGTGTCTGGACAAGATCACAGACAGACAACCAGGTGGCAAACAAAAGCCAGTTTTAGGGCCAAACTAGACAAAACGTGTGTGTGTGTAATTAATAATAATAATAATAATAATAATAATAATAGGAGGGACTGTGGGAAGAAGAGGGCCAGATTCATAGTCATACGAGTTGGAAGGGACCACGAGGATCATCTAGTCAAACCCCCTGCTATGCAGGAATCTTTTGCCTAAGGTGGGACTTGAACCCGCAACACTGAGATTAAGAATCTCTTTTAGACCAAAATTGTGATACTGGGAAGGTTAATCCTTCTCCATAGTACCATTTCCCTGACAAGAAATGCTCCCCAACCCCTGGAGGCATAATCTGCCATTATGAGTGTGTGTGTGTGTGTGTGTGTGTGTGTGTGTAAACCTAGTATGTGTATCTACTAAAAATTGTAAGAGAGCCAGTGTACAGATCGACCTTTTGCTGAATTTATTGAAAATTATCTATACCAGATTAAAAACGAAAATGAAACGGTCCCCAAAACATTTCCATTACATCTCTGGTTATTCTACATTATGCGGTCAGTATTTCATTTTTTGTGTAAAATCATTGTTCAGAGTGGGTGCAACTTTTCAGCTTCCTTCCTGTTAGAACAGCCGTGGTGGTGGTTTGGGGTTTGTTCTGCTTCCTTGTTTTCTTGGAGATAATGTAACTTTGATCATATTCGGGAACTCTTTCATTCTTCTCAGTTAACCCGAAATGCTAAACGTCACTCTCTTCTTCTTCTTTTCTCCTCTTCCTTTCTGCAGAGAGCAGGAGAGGCAGTCGGTGGTGATTCTGAAAGGTAACTATTCTTTGCCTTCTTACTAATCAAATTGTAGTTAGAGAGTTGCTGCCCTAACTGAGCTTCAAAAATGTGCTTGTGATTTTCAGTTCCTTGCAAACTTTGCACTTTGTAAAAGGTAGCCCTGCATAGTTTGTCAAATAGCATGTAGCCAATAATGAGCAGCATTAAAAAACCTCTCTGAAGTGGGCCATTAAAGATTACATGAGAAAGAGATGGACGCTGGAGATTGACCATTTTTAGTCATCTTCACTTTTTTTGGTAATTTAATTTTAAAACAAATATATATATATAATGGATTTTTAACATGCAGCAAATATTCATTTATTCTGATCTTTGCATCACACCTGACATTTTTTAAAAATAAAAAATACAGTTTTATCAAATGCTAGTCTGTGCAAAATAGTCTCATTGAAAATAATGGACATGACTTACATAGCTCCATTAGTTTCAGTGGGTTTGCCCTGAGTGTAACTTAGTTGGATGCGTCCTTTCATGTTTTCAAAGATGTTTACAACATGGGATGTGCCAGCTACATGTTTGAACAATTTTTTTCTTTCCTTGTTTTAACGTCCAGTGACGAACCATTTGCTTCCTCCCCTCCCCACACCTCTTTCTGACTATTTTTGCTTGCTTTTAGCAACATCTGCAACTGGTCATGATGTAAATGCATTTAAGGTTTTAAAAGTATTTCACAAACAGACCTAGGGGCTGTTTCCCTTGAGTTGCTGTGGTGGCTACTGGACTGTTAAGCTTTAAAGCAGAGCTTGGCATATTCATGGAGGTTAAGGCTATCAACAGCAACTAGTCATAATGGTTGTATACTGCCTCCAGCCTCAGAAGCAGTCTGTCTCTGAATACTGGTTGCTGGGAATCACAAGCACTTAGGATCCTGGTGGGCCACTGGGAGCACAGAATGTGCCACTGTTCTGAACCAGTAAGGGTTTTCTTATGTTCTTATGGGAGGCTGGCCACTTCCCATAAGTCTTTTTTTAATAAAATTTGGGTTGGGGGTTATTTATTTTTTACTGCTCTTGAGAGACAAGAAAGCCTGTGCTCCAGTATTATTTTGGCACTAATCCTGGGCTAGTATCCAGAATCTTTTAATTGAAGGAGAGAAGGGGCGAAATCTCATACATGGCATGGAAACGGAAAAAAGCTTCATTGTTAAGTATTCATCTTGTGCATCTCTTTGAAGTACTTTACGTATATAATCTTAATAAACATTACAAAAGCCCTGTAAAGTAAGTCCATAGATGCCAGAAGTGGTGGAGAGAGCGCTAAAGACTAAAGAAGGAAGAGGGCTCTTATGCTCAAATCCTGCTTGCGAGCGTCCAGTCTGGCACTGTGAAAATAAGATGCTGGACCGGATGGGCCATTGGCCTGATCCAGCAGGCTCTTCTTACCTCCTTATGTTAAAATTGACTCATGCCATCAAAGGATACATAATTGAGCTGATATTTGGCCCATGGAAGTCTACGTAATAACCTGTAACTTAAAGTGAATGAAATAGGTCAAGGGGTTTTTATAGAAGTGTAAAGTTAGCTACACTAACTGGGACGCGGGTGGCGCTGTGGTTAAAACCTCAGCGCCTAGGACTTGCCGATCATCAGGTCAGCGGTTCGAATCCCCGCGGCGGGGTGCGCTCCCGTTGCTTGGTCTCAGCGCCTGCCAATCTAGCAGTTCGAAAGCACATCAAGTGCAAGTAGATAAATAGGGACCGCTTACTAGCAGGAAGGTAAATGGCGTTTCCATGTGCAGCGCTGGTGCTGGCTCGCCAGCTGCAGCTTCGTCACGCTGGCCACGTGACCCGGAAGTGTCTTCGGACAGCGCTGGCCCCCGGCCTCTTAAGTGAGATGGGCGCACAACCCTAGAGTCGGACATGACTGGCCAGTACGGGCAGGGGTACCTTTACCTTTACCTAAAGTTAGCTAGTTCAGGGGCATCCAGTATTTATGGGCAGCTGCCAAGGCCCACAGCTTGGTGTATACACAGAAGGTGTATGTGTCTTCACTGATTTTATTTATTTCTTATTCTATATCTATCCCACCTTTTTTCTCCAAAGAGCTCAAAGTGGCTTACGTGGTTCTCCCCCTCCCTGTTTAAGCCTCACAACAACCCTCACAAGTTAAACTGGGAGTTGGTGATCATCCAGTGAGCTTTATGATCAAGTGCGTGGTTTGAACCCTAGTCTCCCAGGTCCTAGCCCAACACTCTAACCACTCTGCCACACTGGCTTGCCTTACGCTCCTGGGTCGTGGCACAGATTTGGTCCAGCAGGAGAAGGGAAGCAAATGGACTGAAACGATGGTGGTGAAGAGGTGGGTTTACCTAGGGAGGAGAGCCCGTAAAGGCATCTTGGCCAAGCTACACACTGACACACACCTCTGTAGCAGGAATGGGGAATGCTTAGCACAGATGCTGCCTGCAGCTGGATTTGAAGTGGCCTCTGTTCCCTCTTTTCAGCAGAGAGCAGCTGAGAGGGAGAAGGGTTTTGATGCTATGCAAAGTGTCTAATGGCATCTGCTTCTGCAAGAGGAACTGGTAGAAGAAGTTCAAAGTGGAGGGTAAAATGTCCTGGTGGAGGTCAACTCGTTTCCTTGCAGAACCTTCCCCATACATGTTGCAATTGTGTGTGCGTAATTTTTGGCATGCAGTTGCATTTGGCATTTGGGTCTTTAAACTGCAAGGCGGGGCTTGCTGTTCAGCTGTGGATTAACATTATTTGCATTCTTCTTGGAGCATTGAGTTCCTTTTGTCTATGCACATTTAGAATAGAGAAATGATTTTGGAAGGCTTTTAAAATAACAACAACAACAATGTGGAACTTGTGTAGAGTGGAATTGCAAAGAAACAAGTACATGTCTCTATTTCCATGAGAATAACATTGTGCCTGTGTGAGTAAAGAGCATGCTATTGTGTGTGCATCTCGTCCCACCTGCTGCTACAATGCAGCCCTCCGCAGCTTTCCACAAGCGTGCTGCAGCCTGAAGAAGATCCCCCACACCTGCTGTGTGCAACCTCCATACTCAGTTGCACCGTGCCTTTGAATACCAGTACCTGGGAGCAGTTGTAGGAAGAAGGCTACTTCCTTCAACCAGCAGGTGGGCTTTCCAAAAGGAGTTCAGCAAGATTCTGGCCTAGATGAACCTATGGTCAGATCCAGCACTGCTCTTCATAGGTTCTATGTTATTTCATTCTCAGGTTCTCTAAATTCCTGTTTTCTATCTGTTGTAAAAGTACCCTCGTTGTCCTGAATGTGCCCAAGGGGGCTAAGTCTCAACAAATTCAACAGAGGTTAAGCATTTACCCACATCTGCATCCAACATGAGCTGGGGGGGGGCATGTTTCTTTCCCCCTGTACCCTTGCAAGTGATTTCATCTGCAGCCCACGTTCTGCCTTTACAAAATGTGTACGATGAAATTGGGGGTCGATACATTTCAGCTGTTTGCCTGCCCTTCAGAGAGCTTTGCCTTGCCTCTTCTTTTGAACGGATGGCGTAGTCAATCATAGGCCCATTAAGGCAGAAAGAAAAACATTTGGTATTGAACACTCTGGGCATTATGTTACTTCTTGCGTTCAATGTCAAAAGTTGAAAACCCCAAGTATAGGCAGAGAGGGATCGTTTTATCAGGCCACGTTTCATCGTTACAACTCTTGTCAGATATTCTTAGCAGACGTTAGTTCTGTAAGGGAATAGGCGAGCTTCTAAGCACAACTATAGCATTAAAATAAACCCCCAAGTAATCTTCTAGAAAAATAAAAGGAAACGCCTCTGAAGTTTTATGTCCAAAATAATGGATGGTGTGCAATGTGGAAGTGGCAAGAAATATAAGCAGATCCACACCATATGTTTAAAGAAAATTCAGTGCACATTTAAAGCATGTGACTCCCTCCACCATCCTGGGAACTCTAGTTTTCTTCTCACAGCTACAATTCCCAGCACTCTTAGCAAACTTCAGTTCTCGGGAGTCTTTGGGAGAATTCATATGCTTTAAATGTGCATTGAAACTATGTTGTGTATGTGCTCAAGAATCATTCCAAAATCCATCGTTGGGTAATCCCTTTTATTACAAAGGGCTTCCAGAGGTCGTTGCATTACAACTCCTATAATCCCTGACGATTGACCATGCTGGATGGGGCTGATGGGAGTTGGAGTCCAGCAACATCTTGAGGGCCACAGGTTTCCCACCTCTGATTTATTAGAACTAACAAACATGTCACGAAACAACTTTTCAAGATTGGGGCAGAACTGTAGCTTAGTAGTATTCCCTTTTCATGCAGAAGGTCTCAGTTTTGGTCCCTGGTGTCTCCAGGCAGCACTGGGATATTATTATTATTATTATTATTATTAGTAGTAGTAGTAGTAGTAGTAGTAGTATACCCACAGGTCTCAGGGCAGTTTACAACATAAAATCACAATATGAAAACACAAAATACCGGTACATAAAAAAAACACAACCCAATAACAACCCCCCCTGAAGTAAAGAAAAACATGGCAATTTTTAAATTAGAAATAATAATAATAATAATAATAATAATAATAATAATAATAATAATAATTCATTTTTTTAAAAAAATGGTATTTATTGAAAGTTTAAAATTACAGAGAATAAAAAAGAGAGGAGGAGAAGGAGAAGGAGAAAAAGAAGGAAAAGAAAAAAAAGAAATAATCAGAAGAAAATTAAGCAATACAAGTCAATAAAAAGAAAAAGAGAGAAATACAAAACACCCAATACATCAAATCCAACAACAAAAAAGAAAAACAAAAAATTTAAAAACAAATCCAATATTCCAAAATCTTTATCATTCATTAACTTGTTTCATCGACTTCCTCACACCTCCCTTTTTTGTATTCTAGTTATTAATTATCTCAGCAAATCCTTTCCATCTTTCACTATATTCTATCATTAAATTACCTTAATTTATTTTAACCTTATCTTACCATAAGAAGCCCTAGAGCTTAAAACTTAAAACTTATTTGTACATAATTCCTTAT